TATTTCTGACCTCTCTTCTGTCCCAACCGTGTTTACTACCTCTGAGACTTGGCTTGTTCTCATCTATGAGCCATTTCCTCTATCTCGCTGTCAATAAAGTTTTTTTGTTTTGTTTTTTGGGAAGAACACAACTCCCCAAAAAAAAAAAAAAAAAACTTTATTATTATTTTTTTTTTGGGAAGAACACAACTCCTCCTTGAACCGTCACCTTATCGTGGTGGAGGAGTTTGAGTGCCCTAATGATCCTAGGAGCTATGTTGTCTGGGGCACTTAGTGCCCCTGGTAGGGTCTCCCATGACAAATTGGTCTTAGGTGAAGGGTGAGACAAAGAACGGTTCGAAGGATCTTTCATGGCGGATAAAACGAAGAGTCAGAGTACCTGGCCCGGAGGGTTACCGGGGTCCCACCCTGGAGCCAGGCCTGGGGTTGGGGCCCGTGAGCGAGCGCCTGGTGGCCGGGCTTTCGCCCATGGGGCCCGGCCGGGCCCAGCCCGAACCGGATACATGGGCTCGTCCAACTGTGGACCCACCACCCGCAGGAGGAACATGAAGGGTCCGGTGCAATGCGAATCGGGTGGCAGACCAAGGCGGGAGCCTTGGCGGTCCAATCCCCGGACAAGAAAACTAGTTTTTGGGACATGGAACGTCACCTCGCTGGCGGGGAAGGAGCCGGAGCTTGTGGCAGAGGTTGAGCGGTACCGGCTAGATATAGTCGGACTCACCTCGACACATTGCATTGGCTCTGGAACCCGAGACCTGGAGAGGGGTTGGACACTCTACTTTGCTGGAGTTGCTCCGGGTGAGAGGCGGAGGGCTGGGGTTGGCTTTTTGTTAGCCCCGAGACTCTCTGCCTGTGTGTTGGGGTTTACCCCGGGGGACAAGAGGGTAGCTTCCTTGCGCCTTCGGGTCGGGGAACGGGTCCTGACTGTTGTTTGTGCTTATGGGCCAAATATCAGTTCAGAGTACCCACCCTTTTTGGAGTCCCTGGGACGAGTGCTAGATAGTGCTCCATCAGGGGACTCCATTGTCCTGCTGGGGGACTTCAATGCTCACGTGGGCAATGACAGCTTGACCTGGAGGGGTGTGATTGGGAGGAACGGCCCACCTAATCTGAACTCGAGCGGTGTTTTGTTATTGGACTTCTGTGCAAGCCGCAGTTTGGCCATAACGAACACCATGTTCGAACATAAAGATGCCCACCGGTACACTTGGTACCAGGGCAGCCTAGGTCACAGGTCGATGATAGATTTTGTAGTCGTATCATCTGACCTGCGGCCGTATGTTTTGGACACCCGAGTGAAGAGAGGGGCGGAGCTGTCAACTGATCACCACCTGGTGGTGAGTTGGATCAGATGGCAAGGGAACATGCCGCGTAGACCTGGCAGACCCAAACGCATAGTGAGGGTCTGCTGGGAACGCCTGGCAGAAGAACCTGTCAAGACGGTCTTCAACTCCCACCTCCGGCAGAGCTTTGACCACGTCCCGAGAGCAGTGGGGGACATTGAGTCCGAGTGGGCCTTGTTCCACTCTGCGATTGTCGAGGCGGCTGTTGCTAGCTGTGGTCGTAAGGTGGCCGGTGCCAGTCGTGGTGGCAACCCCCGTACCCGCTGGTGGACACCAGAGGTTCGGGGAGCCGTCAGGCTGAAGAAGGAGGCCTACAGGGCGTGGCTGGTCTGTGGGTCTCCGGAGGCAGCAGACAGGTACCGGATAGCCAAGCGGGGTGCAGCAGTGGCAGTTGCCGAGGCAAAATCTCGGGCGTGGGAGGAGTTTGGTGAGGCCATGGAGAAAGACTATCGATCGGCTCCAAAGAGGTTCTGGCAAACTGTCCGGCGCCTCAGGAGAGGAAGGCAGCAACTCGCTCACACTGTTTACAGTGGGGATGGGGAGCTGCTGACGTCAACTGAGGCTATAGTCGGACGGTGGAAGGAATACTTTGAGGAGCTCCTCAATCCCACCAATGCGCATTCCGAGGAGGAACCAGAGCTGGGATGCCTGGGGATGGACTGTCCGATCTCGGGGGCAGAAGTTGCTGAGGTAGTCAAACAACTACACAGCGGCGGAGCCCCGGGGGCGGATGAGGTTCGTCCTGGGTATCTCAAGGCTATGGATGTTGTAGGGCTGTCATGGTTGACACGTCTCTACAACATTGCGTGGTCATCGGGGGCAGTTCCTAGGGAGTGGCAGACCGGGGTGGTGGTCCCCATCTTTAAGAAGGGTGACCTGAGGGTGTGTTCCAACTATAGGGGGATCACACTCCTCAGCCTCCCTGGAAAGGTCTACGCCAAGGTACTGGAGAGGAGGGTCCGATCGATAGTTGAATCTCAGATAGAGGAGGAGCAATGTGGTTTTCGTCCTGGCCGTGGAACTGTGGACCAGCTCTATACCCTTGCAAGGGTGATGGAGGGGGCATGGGAGTTTGCCCAACCAATCCACATGTGCTTTGTGGATTTGGAGAAGGCTTATGACCGTGTCCCCAGGGGCACCCTGTGGGGGACGCTCCAGGAGTATGGGGTGGGTGGCTTTCTGTTAAGGGCCATTCAGTCCCTTTACCAGAGGAGCGTGAGTTTGGTCCGCATAGCCGGTAGTAAGTCGGACCTGTTCCCAGTGAGGGTTGGACTCCGCCAGGGCTGCCCTTTGTCACCGGTTCTGTTCATCACTTTTATGGACAGAATTTCTAGACGCAGCCGTGGTGTGGAGTGTGTCGAGTTTGGTGGCAGGAGAATCTCGTCTCTGCTTTTTGCGGATGATGTGGTCCTCCTAGCTTCATACAGCTCTGACCTTCAGCTCTTGCTGGGTAGGTTCGCGGCCGAATGTGAAGCGGCTGGGATGAGGATCAGCACCTCCAAATCTGAGACCATGGTTCTCGACCGGAAAAGGGTGGCTTGCCACCTCCGGGTCGGGGGAGAGGTCCTACCTCAAGTGGAGGAGTTTAAGTATCTCAGGGTCTTGTTCACGAGTGAGGGTAGGAGGGATCGGGAGATCGACAGGCGGATTGGTTCGGCGTCTGCAGTGATGCGGACGCTGAGCCGATCTGTCGTGGGGAAGAGGGAGCTGAGCCAGAAAGCCAGGCTCTCGATTTACCGGTCGATCTACGTCCCAATCCTCACCTATGGTCATGAGCTTTGGGTAATGACCGAAAGAACGAGATCGCGGATACAAGCGGCCGAAATGAGTTTCCTCCGTAGGGTGGCCGGGCTCAGCCTTAGAGATAGGGTGAGGAGCTCGGACATTCGGGAGGGACTCGGAGTAGAACCGCTGCTCCTCCGGATCGAAAGGAGCCAGTTGAGGTGGTTTGGGCATCTGGTCAGGATGCCTCCTGGACGCCTCCCCGGGGAGGTGTTTCGGGCATGTCCTGCCGGCAGAAGGCCCCCGGGTCGACCCAGGACACGTTGGAGAGGTTACATCTCCAATCTGGTCCGGGAACGCCTTGGGGTCCTGCCGGAGGAGCTGGTGGACAAGGCCGGGGAGAGGACGGCCTGGAGCTCCCTAATTGGGATGCTGCCCCCGCGACCCGGACCCGGATAAGCGGAGGAAGACGGGAAGAACACAAGGATTCACCCCATGAGCTTTTGAGGAGGTGGTGTGTCAAAATTTAGTTAACTGAGAGTGTTTTCGCACACACACACACACACACACACACACACACACACACACACACATATATATATACATATATACACACACACACATATATATCTATATGTATATATAGCACCAGCATATGCACAGGTGGAATTTATCATCACCCAATTGCACAAGAACTTGCGTGGCCACTGCATGTTTTATAAATCAGGATTTAGGCCGTTCGTAAGAACTTTCTGAATTTCTTACGTAGGAAGGAATATAGGAGAGTTTCTACAAACATTTGATGAATGAAGGCCCGGGTCTCTGGTTTTGCAGATGATATGGTCCTGTTGGCTTGATCAGAACGTGATCTCTAGCTTTCGCTGGGGTGATTCGCTGCCAAGTGTGAAGCAGCTGGCAGGAGAATCCGCTCCTCTAAATCTGAGACCTTGGTTTTGAGTTGGAAAAGGGTACGATGCCAAACACACCCACTGTCAACAGATCGGCCGAGTGAAATTTACGCCTTTAGTGGGAGCATCCAACTGGCAGGTAGATTAGATAATTATCATTCTGGATGCTGAGGAGTAAACATCTCCTCCGACTACAGCTCGGAGCTGCCACTCTAGCGGTGACAGCGCAAGGAGCGACTGTGGTGAGTGCACATAGCAGAGAGAGAGAGAGGAGAGAGAGAGAGAGAGAGAGAGAGAGAGAGAGAGAGAGAGAGAGAGAGAGAGAGAGAGAGAGAGAGAGAGAGAGAGAGAGAGATGAGAGAGAGAGAGAGAGAGAGAGAGAGAGAGAGAGAGAGAGAGAGAGAGAGAGAGAGAGAGAGAGAGAGAGAGAGAGAGAGAGAGAGAGAGAGAGAGAGAGAGAGAGAGAGAGAGAGAGAGAGAGAGAGAGAGAGAGAGAGAGAGAGAGAGAGAGAGAGAGAGAGAGAGAGAGAGAGAGAGAGAGAGAGAGAGAGAGAGAGAGAGAGAGAGAGGTGTTCCTGAGAAGGCTGCATGGATGGATGGAAACTTACTCTCTACAAATGTCTTATTGCTGAGTGTTTTTCATTTCCAGATTGAAATTTTCAGGTTAATCAATATTCTAGTTTTTGGAGGTTAGATCTGTTGAAGAATCATACATCACAGCCCAGAAATGCATCTCTAGTTAAAAACAAACCCCAAAAGAAAAAAAATACCAGAACATTTAGACAAATTTTTAGTTCAAGATCCTAATTCATTTGTGAACTTCTGCAATAAATACAATAATCCCAATAAATTTCTCTTAGTAGATTATCAACACATTCTGGCCCTTCACAATTCAGCATTATAATTTAGAACTACAGTTAATATTTCTTTCCAGTTGTTTTTAAATTAACAATTTTTTTTTTACCAACTTGGAGCCCATAGACACGACATCATGAAGTCATTAAATCATCTAGAAAGACTGGGGTACCTCTAATATCTGATCTCCGATGAAGATTTGGCCACTTTGCCCAATGGGGCCTTCAGGTAATATAGAACACAGATAGTGATGTCCTGCACGGGCCTCCAGACTGATGCCCAGGCCGCTGGTCTCACTGAACCGCTCCAGCTGACACACCTGCAACAAGAATACAAACGAAACGCTACAAAACAAAGCCTGGGACATTAATTAAAAGACACTTAAGTTGGGTGTTCTTGAGTGAACCAACCCTTTTAAGGTCTCTTTTAATATTTAATGCGTGCACATTGTGAGAAATGCATCTGCATGCATGCAGTCATCATACTTCTGTTGATAACAGTAATACATACAATGACTTCATATCGGGGTCCGACTGCATTCTGCCACCTCTGCCTCAGGTTCCCCTCTTCAGATGGAGTCAGTTTCCCACCTTCAGAATGTGCACACAAAGAAAAGCCTCAAATGACATGCACACAAGTACACAAAGCCCTGTTTTAAAGAGCAAGTCACCCCCAAATCACCTTTTTTTGTTGCTGATAGACTATATAAAGGAGTGTCTGATCATGCTACAGGCACGTGTAGTCAATAATTTGGCAGTTCAGTGCATCTTTGTTAAAATTCAAATATTCTGCCTAAAACTGTCAGTGTTGTGCCGTCGTCAGGAAAAAATTCTGCACTGGATTTGAATTTAAATCTGCCACCGCTATTGGCTAAGAGGTATGCTATGATGTCATCTGGTACATTATGATGTCATAATGCCATTGTGAGCCTGTGTGTGTGTATTTGTTAGCGGCTCCGCCCTCTCGGTCTGCCAAGAGTGAAGTAAGTTTCTTGTAGGGGGTGACTTGCGCTTTAAAGTCAAAAACACACACGCCAATACATTCTAGGCTCCAGTTAGTCCAATCAATAAAGATTACCCTATATAAAACACAACCTTGGTTCTATAATAGAGAAAGGACAACATAGATCTCCTTAAGGCAAAGCAGAATAGGAACACTACATAGAAAGCCTGTATACACACACACACACACACACACACACACACACACACACACACTGACTGAAGATAAACAGGAATGCATATTCACATCCACAATCTTGTCATTTCAGACAAATTTCTCTTTTCTTATTCGTCTGTTAAACCCTAACAGCAATCATCGCTTATTTGTCTGTGCTCTCTAATCAGGCCCAACAAATGTCTTGTCTAAATAAAGCCGTACATGCCGGCCGGGTGAGAGACAAATCATCTGGAATGAGTCGAATGAGTTGGATAAGCACATGATTGCGCAAAACTATAAATAGAGTCCCATCAAAGAGCATGGTTCACTGGCGCATTGCTGTTTGGTGATCCAAAGCAGCAACGCAGTCTGAGTCGTATGATGCAGAGCCAGACTCTGCACAGTACGGGGAGAGGCGCTTATACCATCTCTGGATTCGTGTCGAGGTCGTCTGCTGGCATATGCCGCTCGCCGGGAGATTTCACGCAGAGTGCAGATTCCTGAGAGACAGAAGAATGTGTCTGAGCACACATATGCACTTGCTTCAGATGTATTTATTTTCTCGTTTTCAAGAGAAAGGTCATGATTAGTTTAAAGAAATAAAGGGTGAAGTGTCTTGTCCAAGAACACAACTACAGCATTCCCTGTAGGGTGCAGGGATTGATCCTTCAACCCTACGATTACTGGACAACCTACTCTACCTCTTGAGCTAGAGTGTAAAGTACTGGTCTCTTGAATCTTGTTGAGACTCGGTCTGTACGGATTGCCTTCATGGAAACTGTGAGAGTGTCGGAGGGGCTGCAGAGGAGGAACAGGGGGCAGGATGTGGCTCAGGCAGACGGCTTTTCTCAGCAACCTCAGTCTGACCAGTGGACCAGTCCTCCTGAGCACCTCCATGGCTCGCTGCTCACTGCAGCCCTGAAGGCTCGCCCCATCTACCTGAAGCAAGGGACAAAGATGGAGACAAAAGGTGAATGCAGGGGTATGATAAGGACATTAGAGGGCCCAGGTCCATTTCCAGGGTTAAAAAGAAATTAGAGGAAATCTCAGAAAGACTGAGAGCAACGCGAGTTTTGATTGGTTCCATCTGGACCTTTATTTACACTCTATATACGACTAATTAGGGGTATAGGGCTCACACAAACGCACTCTTTATTAAGACGCAAGCTTTAAAATTCCAGGACCTGGTCAAGTTTAAAACAGTGCAAATAATATATAAGGTAAGGAAAGGGATGCTCCCAATTGAAATAAGTAAATGGTTCTTAGAAAGAGAAGGGAGGTATAATTTTAGAGGGAGGTGGAATTTAAAAGTACAAAGAGTAAGAACAACATTGAAAAGGATGTCTATTTCAATAGCGGGCGTTAAATTCTGGAATGAGTTAACAGAAGAAATAAAGGATAGTAGTAATGTAAACCAGTTTAAAATAAAAGTCAAAAAAGAAATGTTAAATAAGTATAAGACTGAAGAAAATGCAATTAACCCAGGATGGCATGCAAACTGATGTTTAATCTCTTCTACAAATTAGAAAATCTAAATATAGTTCTAGTTGAACATGAGAATGTAATGTATTTATAATTATTGTTATTTTTTGTGGGTTTTTTTAAGGCTGTTTTGTTGTTTAAATTTTGATGATGAGGATGTAAACCTGAGGGGGTAGGCCTAAATAAGTATACACTTCTCCCTACTTCTTTTCAAACAATTGTGTGGAATGATTTTATGAAATGTTGGTGAATGTATATGTTTGAAATAAAGTGAACTGAACTGAACTGAAATGAATTATGTTTTACCCTAATAAGAGTTTATATTTATAAAAGAAAGTAAAAGATCCTCAAGATGTACATTAGCATTACCAGCACCTATTAGAACAAGGCTGCTCAGTCTGATCATTCCCCATTACTTTGCTATTGTGTGACACACACATAACCAGGGATATGCAACGCTATCTATTACAAAAATGCACACGCAACGCATCTTTTCAGAAATCTCATTTGTGTTAAATATTGAGTTATTCTCTTTGGTTTTAACTTTTGTCACAGATGGAAAAAGCGTGGCTGCATTTTTCTGTTACATGCAAAATAATCACAACATGTTTTAAATTTCACATTCACACGACATGTCTTAAGGTCACACGGTGTTTACGTATCCTTTACAACTCAATAAATTGCTTTGAACCTATTGTACGCAAGCGCTGAGCTGTCACTCAGCTTCTGTTGCCGATTATTGATTATTCTGGTATTTTTTACCAAAACTCAACAGTTTCTAGCCTGCGGTCTCTTGATGTCGTCTACAACAGTTTGTGTCGTTTCATTTTGCGGTGTTCATTTAACACTCATCATTGTTATATGCATGAGCTTCTTGGTTGGCTTCCTTTAAAAGCAAGACTACAATTTCATTGGTTGATATTTATGTTTAAGTGCATTTATTTAGATTTTCCACTTTGTCTAAAAACTCTTTTGGTTCCCATTGATTCCTCGTATTCCACCCGCTTAACTACTCTTCGATCATTTGTTGTTCCTCGTTTTAAAAAGGAGGTGGGTAGACTCGCCTTTTGTGTTAAAGCTCCTCTGGACTGGAATAAATTACCCACTGAATTAAGATCCATCTCAACAAATTCGTCAGTTTTCCCGCACTGTTTATGCTTATGTAAAGCCAAGCTGTAGATGCTTTGTTTAATATTTATTATAATGATTTTGTGCATTCACTGGCTAACATGCTGTATTTTGTTGCCAAACTTTGGATAAAATTGGTATATTACTTCACTTTAGGTTTATTTACGATGTAATTGCTTGCCCTTATTTCTCTTTGAGTGCCTCAGCAGTTTTATTTAATTTAATTTTGTATATAGGTATGTATGTACGTATGTACACATGTGGGTATCTATGTATCCATGCTTATGTGTGTATATATATAGTTATACATATCGTTAATTTTACTATTATTATTTACTTTCCTTCTTTTCTTTTTTTTAAGTCTGTTATAACTTTCTACCTCTGCCACCTTATTTGTTATCGGTTGTGTTGTAGGAGGACCTGCTCGAAAACGAGATGTTACATCTCAAGCAGTTTATCCTCCTGAAAAACATAAGTTAAATAAATAAATAACAAATGTTTTTACCAGATTGTCCGTGATCAAAGAGATGTGTGGAACAAAATGTAAAAAAAAAAATCCCCCATCAACTAAAACCAGGTTATAATTAAACTAATAGTTGCTAAGAGCTGAAAGTAGAGAAGCAACATGAGCATATTCTTGCCTGAGTGAAATAAAAAAGCTATCTACTGTGTTTTTAGCAAGACTTACAGACAAGATGATGTCTCCAACTCGCATGCATCCATCTTGATCCACAGAGCTTCCTTTCACTATGCTCTTCACCACCACACCAGCACTGTAGACTGAACAGGATGCAACAATGCTCACAACTGAGTGACGGATTTGAACATTCAAGATGTATGCTTTGTAAAATTGACATTTTGCAGCTAAATACCCGAGTTTAGGTCTCCCACGTAGCTGGAGATAGTAAATCCAAGACCCCGGCTGTTTTTAGTGAACTGGACACTAAACTCATAGTCATCATTTAAGTCATTGAGCTGAAAAGTAGCACAAAAGGAAATATTTACGGCTTCAGAGAACTTTTTTTTTTACTCCCGATAGCACATTATCATTAATACAGAGGTGAAAATAATAGTTGAACAAAAGAAATCTCACGCTGGTCACTGACAATAACTGAATACTGATCAAAGTGATTCAAAAGAACAAAAACAAACAAATGAAACAGGCTTGGACAAAAATGGCAGTACCCTTAAAACATATTACAATTACAACTTTGTCTACGAAGGAAAGAATGATGATTATTAACCATCATATCAAATAGAAAGGAGAGGCCATCTTCTAGCAGCCAGAAGCTAGAAAACCAACGTTGGACAAATTCATATGAAGTTTAAGCTCCATGGGTCTGTAGTCAACCTCCCTGGGTGTGTGCAGAAGAGATAAAAGATGATGAATTGAATAGATGGATGAGGCGAAAGGCATCTAAATAGCTCCGAGCAACTTCTAACTTGCTTCACAATGAACACTAAGGTCAAAGCTCATCAGTGTCAGACCGCACCATCCCTTGCTGTTGGAGCCAAAGTGGACGTATTTGAAGTCAGCTGAAGAGGACACCACTGTTGAAAGCAAAATATTAGAGCCAAACTGTAATTAAAAAAAAAAAAAACAAAGCACAAAGTTTCTGGGAGTATGTCCTTTAGACAGATGAGACAAACTGGAACCTTTTGGCCGTCCACATCAGCTTTCTGTTCTCACATGAAGAAAATGAAGCAAGCAAAGCAAAGAAAATTGGTTTAATGGTGAAAAATAGAGTTGGCTTGGT